CCTCCTCCCCTTCTCCTTCTTACCCTCTCTCCTACTCTTAATTCCCCTCCCTTACTTCCTCTGCTTTGACCCTTCCTTCCTTTCCCTCCTTTCTTCTTCCCCTCTCTTCCCCCCCTCCTCCCTTCTCCGCTTTCTTCTTTCCTCCTCTCCTTCCCTCCTTCTTCCCCTCTCCTCCTCCCCTTCTCCTTCTTACCCTCTCTCCTACTCTTAATTCCCCTCCCTTACTTCCTCTGTTTGACCCTTTCTTCCTTTCCCTCCTCATCCTTCCTCCTTTCTTCTTCCCCTCTCTTCCCCCCCACCTCCCTTCTCCGCTTTCTTCTTTCCTCCTCTCCTTCCCTCCTTCTTCCCCTCTCCTCCTCCCCTTCTCCTTCTTACCCTCTCTCCTACTCTTAATTCCCCTCCCTTACTTCCTCTGCTTTGACCCTTTCTTCCTTTCCCTCCTCATTCTTCCCCTCTCTTCCCCCCTCCTCCCTTCTCCGCTTTCTTCTTTCCTCCTCTCCTTCCTCCCTTCTTCCCCTCTCCTCCTCCCCTTCTCCTTCTTACCCTCTCTCCTACTCTTAATTCCCCTCCCTTACTTCCTCTGCTTTGACCCTTTCTTCCTTTCCCTCCTCCTCCTTCCTTTCTTCTTCCCCTCTCTTCCCTCCTCCTCCTCCCTTCTCCGCTTTCTTCTTTCCTCCTCTCCTTCCTCCCTTCTTCCCCTCTCCTCCTCCTTCTCCTCCCCTTCTCCTTCTTACCCTCTCTCCTACTCTTAATTCCCCTCCCTTACTTCCTCTGCTTTGACCCTTTCTTCCTTTCCCTCCTCATCCTTCCTCCTTTCTTCTTCCCCTCTCTTCCCCCCTTCCTCCCTTCTCCGCTTTCTTCTTCACATGTGTGCCAGCCAGCTGGTCTTCGGGGGCATCGGAGTGCCTCAAAACGGCCCAAAAAACTGCAAAAAAGGCCATTTTGCGCGGGGGGGGGGGGGAACGGCCTAAAAATGACAATGAGCCAATGGAACAGCTCGCCACCAGAAGTTCTGGGTTTTACTGGGGGGGAGGGGAGGGGGTGTTAAGAAGAGACTGAACAGCCTCTTGTCTGAAAGGGTATAGTTGCCTGGTGCGCATGCACGCCCCGGGAGGATAATCTTCCGGTTTCTGGCGTGCATACGCACCAAAGACCAGCTGGCCGGGGCGCATGTGCACACAGGAAACGGGAAGATCAGCTTCCCGGCATGTGCATGCGCACCGGGCAACTGCTCTTCCGGTTTCCGGCGCTGCTGCGCGTGTGAAAACCAGCTGGCCAGGAGCACCGGAACCCAGAAGAGCAACGGGCGACGGCTCGTGTGGCTGGAGAGATGGCGGTGTGTGCCACTTCCGGCACGCTTGCCAAAGCTTCATGGAACTAGAGGTTTTACAACCAACCCAATATATCTGCTGAAAAGCTACCCTCTCGCACCCAGATCAGCAGATTACATGGGCTTAAAGGGATCACAACGAAGGCTGCCATTGACAAACGACAGGCACTGTAGTCCTCGACATACAGCAGTTCATTCAGTGACCGTTTGGAGTTACAACAGCAGTGAAAAAGGGCACTTAGGATTGCTTTTTGCCCTTCGCAGCATCCCCACGGTCACGGGATGAAAATTCAGCCGCTTGGCAACTGACCTTGGCTTGGTCCCAAGGTTACGTGATCCCCTTTTGTGACTTCCTGGCAAGCAAAACCAATGGGGAAGCCCAGATTCACTTAACAGCCGGGTTCCTACCTTGTTTCCCCGAAAACAAGACCTCCCCAGATAATAAGCCCTCCCCGAAAATATTGCAACACAGCAGCAGCCAGGAGGTGACCACACTCACCGCCTCCTGCACCTCAAAAATAATAAGACCTCCCCGAAAATAAGGCCAAGCGCTTATTTCGGGGGTCAAAAGAAAATAAGACCCTGCCTTATTTTGGGGGAAACTAGATAGATGGATGGATGGATGGAGATATAATAGATATAGATTGGTGATGATAGATAGATAGATAGATAGATAGATAGATAGATAGATAGATAGATAGATAGATAGATAGATA